ATCAGAGTAGCTTAAGAGAATAATTTAGAAGTTGTATTTCCTTAGCTAGTGTTTTCAGCTACAATACTTCTCTTTAAATACAAGCATTACTCCAAATACATTTTAGAGAACACATCACATATTTGCTGACCTTTAATTTCAGGCTATTGATTCAGAATTCTTTTAGATGTTATTTTTACTAAGACATTCACTCAGAAATTAAAAATAAGTCATCCTCCACTGACCAAACACCCTCATCAAATGGTATGAGGCTGTTTTGGTCATGAGTTTGTTGTATTATCTGTCCCAAAAAACTACTCAGAAGATCTGATTATCAGGAAAGAAACATTGCAATATTAGATATTTGCAGCCCTGAGTTAATATGAAAAGCAGAAGACAGCATTTGTGAAACATGAGTCACAGCAAAAGTGAGTAGAGTTCAACACAAGATGACTCTGATGAATTGGGTTAGTTCTAATTGATGTTTGGGACAAAATAATGGCCCAGACTTTTCTTCTGGAACTCCTGTTAATACATGCATAAGGGGATTATTTCTGGAAACTGTGCTAAATTAAGTCTAACAGGTTGTTCTGCTAAAGCGTAATAAAATATTAATGTATTCATTTCAATAAACATTTCTGGGCTACCAAGGATTGATCTAATTACTACACTAATCATACATTTTGATTCTTCTAACAACTGACTCATGGAATTCCAAATTGCAAATGAGGTCTAGCAAATGCATTTCAATTATTTAATATTCATGTGACCAAAAGGCATCACTGTGATGGCCAGTTTCACAACTGTTTTGCAAACAACAGCTGTGAACTGAAAAAGGCTAAAATCTAGGCTGTATTCTTGTGGGTACCAGTGGCCAGGTGTACTATGTTACAGGGCATGAGGAAAAAAATTATATAGGAAAGCATGAAAAAGCTGCTCAATATAAGATAAATCTTCCCCATATACAAAACACTTGGTTTTTTTCCACTTTTAATCAATTCTTTACTACATACAAACTCCACCCCAATTTTTCCAGTCATGCAAAATAATAATTGACTTTACTTTCAGATGTTTGTGACAAGGCGAGGTAATGGATACCTTTTCTTTCTTTTCCTGTAAATCAATTCCATTCTCTCAGTGGTAATGTACAGTAAGGCTTCCGGAAATGGGATGCCTGAAACAATGCCAAGAACTTCCCCATTCACAGAAATACTTGCAAATACCAGTCATAGCTCTCCACCCATCATCAGTCCATACTCTATGAATACTGCATGGCTTCCACAAACAAACATTGAAGAAAGGGGGCCTGAATATATTTAAAAATTAACTTATCCTGCTTTCATACCTTGTGCTTTACTTGATACAAATAGTTGAGTTGTTCATAAGGTTGCACATCTATGGTTTCATAAAGAATGCACCACCTGTTTTTTTAATGTACTTGTAAACAAAACTCTGAGTGTAAAACCAGCATTTCCTCTACAAAAAAACCCTCTAATTTTTGTTTGAGGACAGAAGAAATAGCTAGGATGGGTAGACACAAAAATAGGAGTATACATTGATGAAACAATAATTTAAAATATCTTCCTTAAATTAAAGAATACTCCTCTCAATTCATAACATGAAAAAATAAGATTCAAGTAATAAGAAATGAACTATATTGCTCCTCCCTGCTGACTGGTCAAGGTACATGCAGTTATGTTATGTGTGAAATATGGATTTTTGTATAAGGAATAATGACCACTGTGTAGCATGTGGCCGATTTTTCTTCATCTTGGTACAAAAGACTATTTCCTTCCCAACATCTTGAGCAAATTATAAATCATAAAATATCAATGCACCAAAGGTGCGAGAAGATCTGTATAAATCTTCATTTTTATTTGTTCACTGAGTTCTTAGGTCACCTCTTGCTAGCATTTGCCAAGCATACTCCTGAGATGACTTTAGAGAAAAGGAATTGGATTCTTGAATAATTTATTTCTCCTTTAAAGGAAAAGAGAAGTTACTACATCCTTTGTATTTCTGATCGGGATGTTGCCCTTGTACTACTTCACATTTTCCTATACTAACTTATTTTTTCTAATTCATATTTTTTTCCTAATAGTTTGTTATATGCATTCTAGACAAGAAAAATGGATTTCCATAACATAATATGACCTAATAGTTGAACATATTTTAAATGTGAATTCAAACAACTGAAGAAGAGCTATTTCATTCTGCGTTCAACAGAAAAAAAAATAATTAAAGCACTAGTAGGTGGATTTTCCTGTTCCACCTCCCAGAACGTATGGAAAGAATTGTGTAAGCATCAGGAACATTTTAGGTAAGGAGACATTAAGATTAATATGATTCTGTAAACAGGATGTTTGAAAAGAGTTTAATTTTTTCTGAGCAGAATTGCCTACTTTTCACGTTTATCACTTGTTATACGACTTGTTTATCACCTGTTATCTCAATGTTTGAAAATTAAATAAGTGAATGTCTAACTAATAATTTTGAAAATTAAATTTTAATGTCTTCCAGAATACAAAGCCAGTTCTCAATTCAATTTCAACTCAATTTCAAACGTCTAATGTCAAGGTCTTGTTACTTTAGTACTTATTGAGTATGTCTTATTCTGTACAATGACATGTTCAGAAATTCTTGTACAACAATGTCTAGCTGCTGTAAAGTAACTCTTACACTAATAAGGTGTATTAAGGGGAAAAGAGCTGTTGGAAAAAACTTAGCTCACCAACTTCAGCTGTCAGCAGCTTGTGAAGATTTAAATCCTTCAGCAATTTGGAAAAAAAAATCCTGGTAACAGCCCCTTAAAGTATCAACACATTTATACAACTACTCAAAAGTAAATGGAAGGAAGACAGAATCAGATGAAGGGCATTAAAAAATTTTGAGAAGTGTCTTGTTAGAAATTATCATAAACTTTCCTGTAAGGGTTACAAAAATTGGAGGAAGTTGGTTCTACCATGTTTTCTTTTGTATCTAACAAGAAAAGGAAAGGAGTGAAACTAATGTCTCCTTATTAACTTTTCCAAAGAACAACAAGAAAAATAAAAATACCACAAAAGATTTATATGGACATCTTCAGGAAGAGACACCATTTACAGCTGAAAAAAGTTCATCTTAACTGAAAAATATTCATGTACTTCAGTGAACATAGAGTTGAAAAACATGTAGAGCAATTAAATAATTAGAGAACCTCTCTAAGACTTGCAAGACATTTCCCCAAATCATGTGTAGTGATTTTATTGGAGTGAAATGTTTATGCTTTAAAACTTCATGTGCAATTGAAATAATAGTTATTTCGGTGTTAATTTCACTAAGAACATATCTGATCTCTTACAACACAGGACTTGAAAAACCTGGAACAGAAGTACATTAATCAAGAACTCCAACAAAATTTACAAGTGTCAGGAATTAAAGTTCATTACAATGATACCCCACATAAGACAGAATCTCTACAATAATATTTAATTAGAAACTATATACAGTTTACTAGATCTCCATTTGGAAGCTTCCCTCTACCTAGTCTGCCAGAAAGGAAGTTGCCCTAAAAGGAAAAAAAATTATTAAAAATATGCCTATGGTATAAAAAAAAATACCAGCAGGAGCATGGCTTCATGTTTTCCTTGCATATATACAATACAGATCTCCTAGCAAAAGCCCCACCGCACATTACTCTTGGATTCCTGTTCTACAAGTACTTTAGAAGAGTTCATATTTCTTTCCTTCTTCAGTCACAGAATTACACTTCCACAAATCCAACCTTGGCATGTCACACATGCTATTTTTTAGGCGTTGTTTTTTTAAGTTATAAACAAACTACAAATTTCAGGCAGATAATCACAGTCTGAATTATAAATTAAAATACAGACATATATAGATATATACACACACAGGAAATACTGTTTAAAAGAATGGGGAGATTTTTGTAATCAGAACTGCTAGCACTTAAGATTCCAGTATTCTAGCACTGAAAATAAAAGACCACAGTATTTGAATTCTCAAATGAGTTATGACAGGAGACAACCTGCACCTTCAAAACCTTCACTAATTTGCTTTGTCATGACAGAATAAACAAACTACAAAATCAGTTTAAAACAATGTATTATTCTTTTGGTTTAAAAATAGAGATAAAACTAGAAAGGAAACCACAATCTTTTATTTTAATTCCTTTCATAAAGCTTTGAAGAATGTATTTCCGTTCCATTTTCTCAGAAAACAAATGAAACCCATACCAAAAAACCCACAACCAAACACCAATCCCTCAGCCTTCCTAGCCCCTTCTCCAAAAAAATCCCCAGCCCACCCTCAACACAATCTGGCCCTTACATCTCAGACAGTGAAATACTAGGAATCAACTGTCTTGATGACACACTTAATGACAACAGAGGTAATAAATGGGTTTGGCAGAATAATTCTCAAGGTCAGAGTGGGCTGTGTAGACAAAGAAGGCTAAAGGAAGCACTTCACAGTGCTCCACGGTCAATGCTCTTCCATGACTATCAGCTTCTGAGAAACTGAAGTATTATTAATCTGCCTTTCCCTTGTTACCTATGGATGACTTTCAATGTTACAGGAGCAGGCCCAGCACTGAGCCCTGTGGAACACTACTGGTGACTGGCTGCCAACTGGATTTAACTCCATTCAATACAACTTTTTGGACCTGGCTGTCCAACCAATTTTTAATCCAGCAAAGCATATGTTCATCCAAGCTACAAGTAGCCAGCTTCTCTAGGATAATGCTATGAGAAACCATGTTGTATGATCTAGGAACACTGATGTATAGAGTATGTTACAATAAAAGAAGGAGGGAGCTGTTAGCAGAGTGCAACTAGCCATTAACAAAGCAAACTTACTTCCTATAAGCAATGAAGAACAGTATAATAGTTCACAGAAAGTGAGTCTGCAGATCAGTTTTGCATTTGGCTTCAATGTTGCATCCACTGTGTTTATGGATGACATATAGCTTTGCAGGAGACATTTACAAGTTTTTCCAACAGAGAACAAAATTATATACTTACGGCATGGGGTGTTCAGTCTGTTCACGAGTTGTGGAAATGTAAAGATCTCTGGCAAGTCTAGTTCATCTTTTTCGTTTTGTTCCTTTTCCTCAGTCTGGTCAGCCCAAACTACTGATTTTTGTCTTTGAATCAACTGCTGTATCTCCCCAAATTCAGTCTCAGTTAAATTATTTGTCAACCCAGCTTCCTTCAAAGTCAGGTATTGCTTGCGAAGAACTGGAAGCAAAGTATTTAGTACTCTGTAAAACAAGAGGTAAGAAAATATGACTAAATCATAACTAATTTGATCTTTATTGCAGTATCAGGAATACAAGGAGGTTTTTTTTCCCTGTCTCCTTTCCCTGCCCTGCCCAAGCTGTGTAATTTATTTTAATTTATTTCTGGGGAATTCCATAACACTAAAATATTCATGACTAAGTAGAGTGGTTTTTCTCTTTTGCAAAATTTGTGTTTCATTCTAACTATACTATAGCTTTTCCTCCATGCCCAAGATCTTACGTCCCTCAAACACCACAGAAATACAGTCAGCATATCTTGACTAAATTCTGTCTTTCTAAAATTAAGAGTTTAAACCAAGCACATCTTAATTAGATGTGCTTAGAATCTCACTAGAAAACTAGTCCAAATAAACGTAGATACCAGGATCTTTAATTAAAGAATGGAATAAATTAAGATACACACACAAATGCAAATCAAAGTGAACAAAGTTTAGGAATTATTTCTGAACACAATAATTAATTAACTGTGGAGTCAGCTGCAAGACTAAACAGTAGGTTCCAGCAAAAGGGAAAGGGATGTGTATATAAAAGCCCAAACTTTGTAATCACCAGCTGTGTAGCTTTCAACATTTTCTTTCAGTTTCGCAGGTTTACGTATTAGTTTTTGCAGTGTTTATGGATACATCCTTTTATCCGAACGAGGAAGAAAAGCAGGTTACTTCATTTTGGAACAATTCAGTTATAAACTGAATATACTTATTTACTGAATAGATTTGTGATTACTTGCCATTCCTTATGTCATATTCAGAAAGCTAGTCTCAAGAGACTGATAATAGAAAAAGAGCTGATGGCTACCTGCTAATTCAGCTTTTTTCACTCTGACTAGCTATGTAAGAGTTTAATAGTAACAATGTTTACTACATGTAAATCAATGTCTACAATACAAGAAATTAAAAGGAAGACAAACACTCATAAAACAAAATCAATATTACTGTTCAAGACAGTACAATAAAATAAGATACCTTGGTCTATTAAACAATTTGTAAAAACTATGCACAGAAGAAAATTAAATGGAAATAAGAAGTACTGGAGTAAACCTGCAGTTCCTGTTAAGCAATGGTAGATACAGACCAAGATTTGTGATTATTATTTTACATGTATTTTTAAGAAAACACAATTCTAACCTAGAAAAAAAAAAGTTGAGAAAAATCTTGCTTCTGTTTCAACTACAACTAAAATCTGTGGATATGTCTTCCAAAGTTACAAATGTCAGAATAGAAGTCTTACCAATTCTGTTATAAAGTCATACTTACTTTTCTGTCTGTTTATAATGCTGATCTTGAAGGGACACCAGAAATACCATGTGCTCAATCTGAGCTTTCAGGTCCTTAACTTCTAGGTTTAAATGGCAACACTGCAGATCTTTACAGAGTTCCTTGGGAAATTAGCAAGAAAAAAAAACCAAACAGCTATATGTCAAACCGATAGTAAGAAACTAAAATATACACTAGAAATAATATTTCTTCATCCTATATTGAAAAGATGGAGGGAATCTGTATTATGATAATAAAATTTTATGATAAGGAAGTATGATTAGTTGAATTTTTCTTGACATACATAAATATTGCTTTAAAGAGTCTTTTGAACAATAGTAAATGTGCTGCAATTAGTATTAAGAATCCAACAGATACACACATGTACTTATCTATGAATGCCCCAAAACATATTTGCTTCTTTTTCTGTGTACTTGTCCCATATCTGAATTTCAGTGACATAGTCTAAGACAAGTCCTCACTGTATTCAGTTATTTTTCTGAGATGTCAGTATGTTGCTTAAAATCTCTTAGTTAATTTAAGGTATAAACACATTTTAGTAATCCAAATAAAAATAAAGGTATTGAAACAGATTCCATTTCATATCACATAAGTGTGCATTACACTATCATTTAAGCCACTCCACCTTTCTTTTTCTCTTCTCCTTGCTTCTGCACAGACCTTTATCCCTTCTCTTCTTTCAGGTGCTGCTCACCTGAGGCTGCCTGTACTTGCTAAAATTAGTTGAGAAATTAATACAACTTCCCACTTCTTATCCCCTTTCCACTTCTCCCCTAGCAATCTCCAGTAAAAGAAAGGTTTCTTTGACTAGGCTAAGAATTAAGTTGTCACCTGGTTAGGTGAGCATCAGGAGGCAAGACTAGAAGCATATGACCAGGAGCAGGATCCTATATGTAATGGTATACTTTGATGAACAAGGAGTACTTGCACAAACAGTGAAGTACTTTCAGGGCAGAAGAACAGAAACAGCTAACACTAGAATTTGAAAGCACCCTGAAAGAATGGCAGAATCCATGAACAGAAGCAAGACAAAGGGAGGGGGAAAAAAAATAATTCTATAACAATAAGCAGATGTTGCCTAGAAAGCACGAAATCTGCCCTTGGAGCAGAAGGTATTTTACCTTTGGAATACACCCATCTTGACTCAGGAGGCGCATTTCATTTTCAACACGATGCAGCCAATTGGTATTTTCCTCAAAATGTTCAATCTCCTCTTCTTTCTTCTTCTGCATGTGTTCGTAGCAGGTTCGAAGCCTTGCAAGCTTCTGATCCCGCTTGCAAGTGGCCTAAAAAAATCAGCATTTAAGAAGAAATCTTCCAAATGATGTTCACAAATATGTCCATAAAAAAAAACAAACACAAAACCCCATAGTTTATACTCCTTTATATAAGGACCTGGGCATAACAAACATGTGGCATTTTTGACCAGTTTAATAGAAGTGAAGTAGCACTTTCTCCTATGAGCATTACTGAATTATATTTAAACATTTTTAATTTTTCTTTCCTACAAGCCCTTATAACAGAGACTAGAGTAATTTTATTATGCCTTAGAAAAGTAATACATGGGGTTTGATAAATTTCTGTTATAGACCATAATTATCTCAAGCTGGAAAGACAGGAAAAACTACATGTGCACATGCAAACACACATCTAGATACAACAAACTCAAGCATGAAGAGTAAGAAGGAATTTTATTTGCTTTGTTTTCCTAATGCAATGTGCCCTAGAAAAGCCCACAAAAGGATAAACTATTTGTCAAAAGAAAAACCCTCCATCCTCAAGTATCAAGTTTCTTCCAATGCTTCTCTGAAATCTGATAATAAAATTGCACAAAACCAGCAAAAGCAAGTTAGATATTAATGAAGTGGTGTCCTAACAAGACAAAGGAGACTTACTATTCAGAGGACAACTATAGTTTGCACTGCACTTAAAAATTAGGTCACTAACACAACTAGTCAGAGAATGTTAACCTTAGAGTTCAGAGTTCAGCTTTGCTGGAAACAGGGGCAGTTGTGTGGAAAATGGAAATGATTTATTAGTGGTTCAGGATGGATTGAATTTCACAAAATTAACTATAACAAAACTTTTGCAACAAGAAAACATTTTTAAGAACAGACATCAAGGTAACCTAAAAGCATGTTTTTTCTTTCTTCCCAAATTATTGTTAAGTTTTCAAACTGGGCATATTCAAATATAGTTAAGATATCATTTGCTTCATGTTAAATTACCTAAAATCATTATTATATCTAGTTACTGAGCATGGACAATTAAGAGTAAAATGAGAAAATACTTCATAAAAAACCTTTTCCCTTAAAAATTAGTGTTTCAGAAATATCCCTGTGATCTAAACACGTCTTTTACAGAAAGAAAACCCAGAGGCATTTAGGGAAATAGCAAGTGTGTAAAAATACAAGAACAGAAGCATTCTTAGTGCACAAGGGAAACGTGCACAGTTACTTTGGTAATCAAACTACTCCAAATTAAAATCCAATTCATTCCAAGGTAGTCACAAAAGGACATTTAATTTTACCATTACAATGACTTAGTCTTGTTAATAAAGAAGGCACTGTACTTATAAGACAGTGACTCTTCACCTTTAGTAAATCACATCTATTAACTAACTAATGGCAAAACCACCATTTGAGTGAAGCACTGCTAACATGCAAAAAGTTAAATTAGCTCATAAGCACTGGTAGCAAATATAGTGTATGAACTTATACCTCCTCCTTATGAAGAGAGAGAGTTTTACGCCATTGTAAGTAGCATATAAAACTATGGCACAATGAGAAAATATTTTGGAGTTTCTGTGGTGTAACAGAGAATTCTAGAACACATTAGTCACTTGAAATATCTTCATTAGTGACAAGCAAAAATGTGTGATACATTTTGACTTTGACATTTACTTAAGAACCAAGTTTTATGTGAATCACGGGGGAAAAAAGTCATATGGTAAACTAGTTTTTGGCCAAATACAGTGTTACCGTGACTATGCAAAAAGAGCCCCACCCTCAACTTTATATCTATATGAACCATATATTCCTTTAAACTGACTTTTATGAGACAAATTAAGATACTGTTAATTCGCTTATTTGTAATTTGATTCTTCTAGAAAGACACAAGTATTTAATGCTGCACAACAGCAATATTTCCTACTAAGCTCCCAAAATATTTTCATAAAATCCAATAACTATTTCAGTCCACATAACTGTCCTTGAGGAGCCATCCAGATATTTTCCTGGTGACAAGTGAAAACACCAATGATCAGAAACTGTCTTGTTTAGCAAGGTCCATGCTTTTCCTTATGAAATACAAATGAATTTCTCAGCTTGATAACATCTTCAAAGGCTAATTCAAACATACATTAACATGCTTTAGTTTTGGACAAGAGCACCATGAGTCTCCTAAGTCTAGTCAAGTCAACAAGTAACTGACAAGCTGAAAAGGAAAAGTTGAAAATTTTCCACAATTAGCAGTAATAAGCACATCAACAGTTTTCTGTGCAGTGTGGAAAAAATAACACATCTGGCATTACTGCTACATTCTCTATATTAATGTCTAAAAATGCTACTTCAGTGATAACCAGTGTGTCCCATTTTAATTACATATTTAAGCATTTAACTAATTGTATAATCACTTGGGAAAATTCATACATTAGTATAGCAAAATGAAGACAGATGATACTTTATATTAGATTATAGAAAACTCACCTTTTCTATTCTTTCTTCAGAGCACACTAGTTGAATTTGGTCATGACATTGTTTCTGGTAATATGTCTTCAGTGTGTTTTCTTTCAGCTGCAGTTCCAACTTGAGGTATTCCTTTCTGATTTCCTCACGGTTTGCAAATACACTTTTAAGGGTTTCTTTGTATCTATCAGAACCAAAGGATAAGAATAAATAATGGATTACCTACTGAAGACTTTTTAATGACCACCTACTTTATAAGGGGAACTTTCAATTCCAAGTTAATAAAACAAACAAACAAAAAGAGGAATAAAGTACAGCTTTTCATAGATAAGCACTAAATAAAGTCTCAGTACATCAAGTAAAGATTTTACTTACTTGAACTGGAATGGGATGTGAAAGTTTTAAGAGGTCGCTAAAAATAAACTTTATTGTATTTATGACTATGACACTAGGATTCAAAAGAAAGATACCTGGGACCTATTTAAAAAAGTCTTACCTCTGCCTCCAAAAGACACTAGATACCTATGTTCTCTACTACTTCTACCAATTTATTCAAGAAATCAGACTTCTGTTGCCATGGATGCACCATGTCTCCTTCAAAAAGCCTGATAACTCTCTCTCAAATAAAGAATAACCACAAGAGCCTTCAGTTGCTCATTTTCTCTAAAGTTCTGTTCTACAATTTTAATCACTAATGGATGACAAAATTCAGAAAGTGCATCACGTTTTAACACATACTGGGCTAATGGGGAAAAAAACAAACTAGTGATAGAAGGTTCCTAAGTTATTCCAAGGAGACCTAAGGGTCATTCCAATAAGACCATTGTTCAAGTGGCCTCAAAGTTTATCCCTGGTCTTAAACAGAAATCAGAATAACAAGGATAAGGAGCAAGGCTGGAAGTGTTACCATGTTGCAATATAAGTTGCAGTGGTGATACTTTTTCAGGTCACTCGTGACTACTGAAAACAGTACATAACAGCCCAAAAGATACTGTGTATCTCAATAATGACCAAAGTTGTTCACAAGCCATTTCAAAACATCACATAGACTTGTTAGAACTTGACATAAGAATAAAGATACAGTTTAACACACAAATGTCCTAAAGACATGTAACATTTGAAGTCATTACACTGAAACACCAGAATGTAGATAAGGCTCTCTACACTGTTGCTAACAGAAGGGAAAAGGTGGCAGATAACTTCAAAACCTATAAATGAATAGGGTGCAAATCAACTCATCACTCAGATCATCAGTAGGATGAACCTGACAGGATCCTCATGGGAAAGAAGAGAATGAAACACCCACTTTATTGATGATATTTTAAGGAGATGGGATATGCTTACATCTGTCTCTGTGGTTATTCTAGAAGATTAAAACTCAAGCATTCTCTGACCAACAAATACATCCAGCATTTTAAAAAGACATTTTAGGGACCTTGGCCTTAACTGATTCTTCCCACTTAGACAGAATGAAATAACTTTTGAAGCAAGATTTGGATGTGAATAATTTACCTTTGTATTTCTGCTTGCTGATTCTTTGAAAGAAATTCACCATCATGGTTTTCAGGAATGCCAGCTTGCTTTTCTTCATATTCTCTCAGTTTCTCTTTCAGCTTTAGGATCTACACAAAAAAAGAAGTATCTTCTAGTTGGAATACAGTTTGTTGTTTTTTTAAACCCACCATTCTGTCCTTATGTCTTGAAAAGCTTTACAAGTGGCAGTAGGTGACATTCTTCTTAGAAAACGAAACCTCTCTCTTACTTCAAAAGACCATATGGGATAATTAGCACAGTACTGTCTTTTAGGCTCTATCCCATAAACAGTTTTCTGTATTCAAAGTTAAAACAATCTTTTAAACTTGTTACAACAGATTTTTTACTTACCTCTTTCTTTTGCTCATTGCAAATTTTAACATACTGGCTTATGTGACTGTCCACACTAACAACATTGCTCTTCAACTGTTAAAGAAAAGAAACAAGTTAGAATTTAAAAGGCTCCTTCATGTTTTCCTGCATGATAAACACAGTGTAGAAGTATTACATAATTACATTTGCACTGTATTATGAGGAAAGGGATGGATAAAATCCTGACTTGCACAACAGAAATGTGACTGAGCTTTTGCAGTCATCTGTTGCATAAGTATGAGCACATCATTTCCCTCAACAGAACAATAAAAAATAATTACATTTATATCTGCAAGCATGTTTTGAAATTATATTCAGTCTAGCTTTACAATCTAATGTATATCTTTCAAATTTTATTATAAAAATTATCAATAAGTATGCAACAAATGGAAACTACAGTCAACCCCATATTGCATAGAAGAAATGAGGAGCTGCAATACAACCAATTATGAAAAAAATCAGAGTAGCAGAGAACAAAAGACAGGACACCTGAGTAATTTGTAATTTATCACTGTAACCTCATTGTGCTTTTTGTCTCCAACTGAATTCTATGTGTAACAAACCCAGAACAGCTCTTGTACAGCTGCTCAGACATTTCTTTGATATATTTTACAGTTCGCTGAGAAATTATTAGCAAGATGCTCAAACTAGCTGTGAATTCTACCAGCTGAGGAATACTTCCAAATTTAATGTTCACAAAACAAACTCTTTCAAACTGGCAGCATAACCCGTTAATGGAACTATGTTGCTTTTAGTCCAAAATTATTATCTATGCTGTACCTAGTCCATCTTCAGTCAGGAAGGAGCTGACTGTAAATAAGAAGAGGTAACTGAACAAAATTTTGGGACAGAAGTGAAGGAAATTAAATCTTCTAAAAGAAATAACTCTCCTCGTAACCCTACACTATTATACTTTGACAAAAGATCAATAAAGACCAAGATACTCACAGAAGACTTGATATCCTTTGCTCGGTTTGCGTACTTAAGAGTGTTGTATGTATCATCATAGAACATAGAAGACGGACTAACGGCCGCTATCATTACTGTGCGGCAGTTTCCTCCAAGAGAATCTTTCAGCAAGCGCGTAAGCTTGCTGTTCCGGTAAGGAATGTGCTGTTTCTTGCTCTAGAAAGAGAGTTATAGGCATTTTAATGGATTAGTCAACTGGACTTCAAATATTCACTTGCCTGAAGTCTGCTTTGAATTTCAACAATGCCACAAAACATGACAAACAGCTTTGGAACTTTCCCTTAAGTATTTTTTCTCAAAATGACATGTATTTCTCAAATGGTTAAGTCTCTTGGAACTGTTTAAGAATCTTATAACACACTTATTAATCAGGTTAGTTTCTAATGTCCAGATTTGTAACTATTTTTGTGATGTGGGCAACTAACAGTCTACTAACAGGCACACTGCATTAAAATACTTTCAGGTTGGAAAGGACCTCTCAAGATCCACCTAGTCCAATCCCTCTGCTCAAAGCAGGTGATACTCCTTTCTGAGTGAGGACTATGTCCAGTTGGGTTTTGAGTATCTCCAAGGATGGAGATTCTATAACCTCTCCAGGCAACATGAAGTCTGCTCTGTGAAGCCTTATTTCAACCACGTCTACAGAGTCTTAATTTCATAGTACCAAGTTAGGTTACTAGGACCCCAATCTCACATAAAATTAGTGAACATAAAGAATCTTATATACATGTCTGCCTTCCATTCCAACCAGATGGTGATGAGAACATGCAGCAACAGTAACAAAAGCTCTGACCATTTTGCACTGGCAAATGGGGAGAAACTGCTAGCTGACCAGAAGGACAAAAAGGGTGCAGCTGTAGGCAATGGGCTTGACTGTGGCAGAAGTTCATCAGGTTTTGTTATTCTCTCACACAGCTGTTTCCACTCCTTCCCTCCAGATCGTGTGCCAGATCAGGGGACTGACTTCTGTGAGCTGAGTGTGTGTGTGTATGTAAAAGCACAGAACAACTTAGGATAGATGTTGTTTTCTCCTATAAAAGCCTCTTCCCCTAAGATTAAATGGCATAAACCTCTGGAAAAACCCTTGTTCTTTTAAAGTTTATTTATCCATGCCAGCTTCTCTGCATATGCTTGATTCTAATAAAGGTGGGTAAGAAAAGCAGGTACATTCATCTCTGACATTATCCTTAGGTAGCTGCACATTATTTTTCAGAACTCTTTCCAAAAAAATGTCTTTCAGCTATCGCAGATAATAGTTGAAACCCGTAAGGAAACCTTCAAGGAAAATTATCATGTAAGTAGCATTAAAATTGTAATCCCTACTACCCAATGAGAGCTTACCATCTTTAAAAGTGTTTTCAGAATACTAGGAGATGAAGACTGAATGGGAAAGCAGCACATACCTTTGGGTCTGCCAAGGCATTAATGACATTTCCAAGAGCTAGCAGGGAGCGGTTAATATTTGTTCCTTCTCTGAAACGAGCCCCCTTGGCATTTGTCACACTGGCTCGTTCAGATCCTGCCAGGTCAATCAGAGACATTTTGGCAATGCGAACGCTTTGATTTATACTGGCTGTTTTTTCTTGCTGCCTCAGATAAATCTAAAACAAAATAAATAAAAAAAATAATTAAAAGTAACACATAACAGTCTGTTGTTACTCTAAGCAGTAAGTTAATGTTACAATGTAACAACTATTTTTCAGAAATTCTTATTGGCCTCCTTCTTAACCAAGTTAAACCTTTCAGTAGGTATATAACACTAGCAAGCGGTTTGGTCTAATGGAAAGGTGTAAGGTCTTCACTTTGTAGCAGAAAAAAAAATGACAAGTAGTGGGAGAGAATAATATTCTTATGACTTGCCATGAAACCAAATAGATATGTTTCTATATCAAACAATATAAGTTTTGTTGTACCATTTCTATTACAATATAAAAAAGGAAAAAAAGAAAAAAAAAAGCCACTTTTCTGTATGTAACTATCTCAGGCTGGTAGCACTCTACCAGAACCTAGTAACTAGCACTAGCGAAGCAGGGAAAGGTGGAATGACAGCCAAACTATGTTGTATGACTCAAGCTTTCATAAAAATTCAGAAGATACAGGAAATGCCCCAAAGCAGAATCTTTTCTATTTCTTTGTCTGTCAGCAGAACACTTTCAATAGAACAGTGGTGCAACTGGGATTTTACTTTCAGATGCAGTAATTGCCTGACCTAGATAGAAATTTCAAACTTAAGACAGATGGTACAGTAAGGCAAAACTTGCATCTCTAAAATAATCTCAGAATGTCCTGGGCCAAGACTTTTACTACTTTTTAAGTCAGTCTCAGAAAATATCCTGCTCCAATAAAGTTAACAACAAAAACTAAAGCCAGCATAAAGGATAACTAATCTCTACAAACAACAGCAACACTTTAAATAACACAGGATTTAAAAATTAGGAGAAATCAAGACAGCAATAAGGATTTGTCATTTCTATCTGTGGAGCAAAAGAAGCAATAAAGGATAAGCAAGTAAGACATTTTGCAGAAGGTCACATTTCTGGAAACAGACTAGAAACTGACATAAGTGATTACTTGTAGTAGTAACTGACTAGATTGTAATTATTTCTTACAGGTGCCAACATTGCTATTAAGTGTGTCAAGTAGATAGGGTACCTAAGAATCCACTTTAAAAAAGTGTATGGTTGTGAGTTTGCTCAGCTTAAACCAGTACACTAACTAAAACCTGTTAAAGTTCCAGTTGCATTCATTAGACCAATGTATTAAGCAACAATAATATTTCTTTAAAGTGCTACATGCAGATGCAGCATTTAATTACACTTTTATTTACACACACATTTTTCTAAATGAATGACCTAATCCTCCACTCTTCTCAAGTCACTTCTGTGAAAAAGGCCTAAAACCCATTCACTCTTAAATGCTCCGTTATTCAAAGGTGGCATAAGTCTATCTTTGAGAACATGATTATTCAAAAGGTGGCATAAGTCTATCTTTGAGAACATGTAATATTAGTAGGTAATTACATAAATCACACATTTGAGATAATTGTCTAACAAAACAAATAATTATTTTCACCAATAATTTGTGGACTTAATGGAAAATAACACCTAAGAGAAAGCAATTAAATATCTTGATTGACAGCTAAACAATCTCAAAAGACAAAGGCAACAAACATTCAGGCGTATCTCATTACAAAAGTTAACTGGATTAGGAATCTTGCAAAGAATGCCAGAGAAAGCTTTTGCTAACTATACTATCCTTAAACAGAATCAGCCTGACAGTTCTTGTGAAGGAACTGTGCACTAGGACTGTATGCAGAGCATGCTTTGAGCCATGGCATGGAAATGCCTAATCTTTCCATTGAAGGTCTTTTCCTTCATGAAAGCTCTAACACTCAGATGTTTGTCCATGAATATCAAGCTCAGTCAAGCATGGCATTTAACTGACTGCAGATGCACACAGAGACTGGCTGAGACAACCAGTGCATTTTACACAACCTGGGCTACTTTGCTGATCACTGCTGCTACATGGACACGAACAGAGAAAGAAGACAGAGATTAGTCAGTTAACTCAAGCTCAAAGACAAAACTCTTCACGCGGCTTCGAGCAATCTTAAGAATGCTATGATCAACAATGATGGTCTCAGAGAAAAGTCGTTCAGGGCTGCAATAGTATACACCTCTTGCTTGTTAAAGTCAGATGCTCACTGTAACAGTATTTGGTAAACATTCACAGGATTGTTATTTGCCTTTCTCAGGCATCACACTAGTTTACAGTGTGTACATAGTATGCACACCAAAGAAGTCAGAGCTTGTTCATTTTATAACATAACACAAAAAGGATTTACAAAACCACTGAGCATGACATTCTCATTCAGTGCATGGCAAAAAAGCTGCATCCTAAATATATGTTTTCCTATATATACATACAGATATTTTTTATTTAAATATTGTAGTAACAGCAAATATGAGGGCTTTTGTTTTCATTATATTTTCACTTATAACAAAAATAGTAAACAATCCTCTCACCTGCAAGCATTCATATTTGGTTCACTTTTGTTGTTTGTAAGCTGGAAATAATTAAAAATTATTATTTTGTTTTTAGAGTGTGAATCCAATTAGGGATACCACTCCTTGTTTTGGTCATACATTCCAAGAAAACCATGGTAAGCTATAGGAATTCTGACTTTGTCAGTATAGTTTATTTGGTGACTATGCAACTTCAGCTAGCAAGTAGATCTATCTACAAGCAAGTTCAATTTGCCAGAATAAATAAGGTTGGCTGGAGAAGACAAACTCGCCAACATCCCTATTCACTGAATTGTTTGTTGCATCTTAAAGAAACTATGAGTTTGCAACATCTACCTAATTTATTTGCTTGCCACTTTAGAAATTAACTGAGAAGAATGTAAAGTCTGACAGATAAGACAATCCAGAGATTTTTCCTAAGTAAAGGTGAGGGAGGTAAGGCACTCTAGCCCAGGAAGGAAAGAAAGAGAAATCAGCAGTTTGCTCTCTGATCTCAGTCAGTGGGGCTGTAGTTTGTGCCTCATTAAAGGCAGCACACATATACAACAGTGCAGCTCTCAAACCAAACACTTTTGCAAGAAGTCTTTGACTTAAATGCACAACCATGGGCAAGACCCAGCAGAAATTAAAACCTGGATGGGCAATTTCACAGAGAAGTCTCAGGTATGAAATAAAACATGGAAATTACTTTTGCTCCATTATATAACTTCAAAGTATTTAACACATTTATTGCAAATTAGTCACCTCTTTTCTCATTAGTAGTGACAGTAGAGCTCTGGAGTGCTAATTTTACAGCTAGATGCATTGCCATCATCTATGCCAAAATACAAACTTTTGGCTATAGTTACTAAACATTGCCTAAGTTTGCAGATACAGTTAAGAACTGCCTAACAGTTAAATAGGTTAACTGTAATGAAAGGACCAGAATTCAAATTTATTTTAACATTTTGCAACCCAGAAGGGCAGCATATAAATAATTTAATGTTCTTTGCAGTATGTACCAGCAACAGAAAAACAAAGTTTTAGCTAACTAGGCTAATTATAAAATATTATTTTTAAAAAAATCACAGGTTGTATTTAAGAGAAGTCGGAAGGATAAGGTAGGTGGGGGTTAGCAAACAGCAGTAATATTTGGAGAAGTCCTAAAGTTCTAATAGTTTGCGCAAAATGTGCAAAACTCTCATCTATGGATGATGAAAATCAGCATTTCATCTTGGTGATGCAAGTATGTGTCTGGAGATACCTTCAGAGCATATACACTGCTTTAGTTGTTCTAAAACTTGCTCCATACCAGAACATTAAGAAATCACTTTAGTGTAAATATCAACATTAAGCAAAATGAGCAGTGGGAGAAAGCATCACTTGAGTATCTCAGTTTCTAGGCAGATGTGTAACTGCATTCTGTAAAATATTTTTCCCAGAAAAACACTGATCAACATAACAAAATCAGAGAGCATTTAAAAAAACCGAACAAAATCCCAACAACTTTCAGCCTACGAAATTACACTATGGAAGTATCTTCATAGCTCCAAATTACAGTTTTACAGAGAAGGTATTTCTTCTAAGCAGTGTTAGTTCAAAATATTGGAACTAGAGAGATCTTAATTGAATTTGTTTTTTTTCCGAATAGAATCACTATGAATCTTTGCATACTAATGAGAAGTCAACAAGAACAGTAAACTGGTCAACTTTATTCTCCTCACACAGTTTAAAACAGTTTAAAAAACTCTACTTCCATTTAACTGAAACTGGAACACCTACACCTCACTGCAATGACCACAGTGGAGCTTACCTGAAAGACAGCATGGGAGCGGGATGAGGAGGCATTTACATCTGTGGGATGCTGAGTTCTGTTTTTATTTCCATAATCCAACATCTGAAGGATTTCCTCTGCTGATTTAGGCTTTAAGAGTAGAGCACAAGATAAATGCATGTTGGTTTCTTCTAGTTTTCATCCACTACAGGAGGTTCTACACTGATTTTAAGTTACATTAACGTTCACTTTTGAAAAAAAACAAACAAACAGCAAACATCCAAGGAAATTCAAATTTTAATTACATCAAAATAAGAGAATTTTCCTGTTTTGGAGATGAAGCACTTCAAATAAACACTTTCAGTTACAAAGCAGTAAAGTAAACAAAGCAAGCACTTAAGTGCAGAAATTTAATCCAAATAACTTTTTTTTAGTAAAGAGTTTAAGCAAATCTCCAAAGCTTCTTCATAGTTAGAAAATTTAAGTATTACTGACTTTTTTTTCCTGTAATAGTGCATTAAACAATGGTATGTTAATTTCTTTCCCCCCAAAACCAGAGCTTTGGGAAGTACAGTGTTCATAGTGTGAATCAAAGTGATGACACTGTTACCTGTTTAATAATTATTTCATGTACACAAAAGCTGGAAGCTACATAGCATGTAATGTACACTAAAAGGCTGCAAGAAATTAGGTCCTTGAGAGTTGATTTTCATAACAGAAAATAAAGTTCTATCACTGACTTTGCTCAAGAATCACGATGCTGGCCTAGAAAAGTAATTTAAAGTGTAACTTTTCAAATGTGGTTATTTAAAAAGAAAAACAACCCTGAGATGTAGGCACTAGACTTGTAAAAGTGTAGAACACTTGAAGGTGGCACAGCAGGCAGTGAATTTCTTTAAGAAAGGCCAAGATGTATTACTCAAAAAACAAATCTTCCACAACCAGGAGATGAGCAGCAAACCAATGGTACCCATTCAACAATAAGGACTGGATTTTAATCCATTTCTGTTAAAAAAACAAGTAGCAGATTTTTTGACAAGACGCCTTAGAATAATTAATTAATAAGGTTTGCTGGGCGATCAGGTACTGGTGATCATTGCGAGAAAAAAAAAGCTCACTAGGAAATCAGCAAGCTTCACACAACTTCAGCAAACCAATGGGAAACTTCATCATTTTGTCAAACACATTGTGAGGCTTCCTGAATGTATCTGTTTACATACCTGATGTAAAGTTAGCCCTTGAACTACCACCCCTTTCTCAGCATCTTCACGAACAGCGAGAGGTCCCGAGCTGACCAGCAAGTCACGGATCTGTTCATTGTAGACCTTTGAAAGGGAATTTAAAGTCTTTTAAGAAAACTCTCCCACCATAATTGACAGATTTAAAATTAACTAACCAGAAACCACCATGGGCTTTAAAAATATTTATTTAACAGTAACAAATTTGTTCTGTAGCATTTTTGCCAAACAGCCTTCCTACTGAGCTTGAAATACCCAATTATTCAATTTGTGTGAACCTTTTTTTTTTTGAGGTGAGTCACCCTTTCCTAGAAAATAACCTCTATTCTTTAAAAAAAAAGGTTTACTGTTTTTACAAAAAAAAGTTTTGCAGCAAGCATGAATCCCAAGCATTTATTGTCCTCTATATATGTCCTTCATAGTCCATATATACATAGCACAGGGCAAAGCAGTGTCCCCCATAGTTGTGTGGTTTCACAGTGCTCACAGGATTTTATGATAAAGTTCTGAAATATGACCCAAAAAGAAATTTTCTTTTACATATCAACAGATGTTAAGAGGCAAGTAACTGATCAGCAAGACAGCTATCATTAGAATGCTTAGTGAACATACAAGAAGAGACTGTCCTTTTTGGGCAGCCTTCTGTAAGATAGTAACAGGTGCCTATGAATAACATTAACTTAGCAGAGCACAGTTAGGTTTCATTCCTATCAGGGATTCACCTTTTATAGTCCCAGAATAGGTGGAGGAAGGCAAAAGCCACCTTGTGCTTATTTATTATAATGTGCCTCATTAAAAGCAACATACCAAATGGAGAAACTGTCTTACCTCTAAATAAGAGACAGCAACATTACATGTTTTCTCCTCTTTAATTTGCTCCATGCAGTTATAAAGTGCCATCATAGTTAAATACATCACTCCAGGATCTTCAGGGGAACCTAACATCGTATGAGTCTTTCCAGCTCCCGTTGCACCATAAGCAAGCACTGAATTTTCACAAAAAAAGCAAGAAAAACAATTCGTACCATTAAACGAAGCAGGATTGCAAAATTCAAGTGGACATTCACACGTCTGCCATTCTGCACAGCCATTTTCATAAATCAATCAAATTTCTTACTTAGGCTTTACCTTTCACAGCTACAATCAGAAAGCTATTTCAAAAACCACATTTATTTTTGAATTTTCAGTTCAAAATTCACTCATAGGTAATTCACATGAAAATATTTGCTTACTGCCATAATCCCAAGCCACCAACTTATTGTAGGTAGGTATTTAATTTCCTCACAACATCTCACTTGCCAATTTAAAAACCAAGTCATTAAAAAGAGTTCATAAAGAGGTTACCACACAGCCAGTGACACAACTGCTTCTGGTTGAACATTTTCCAGAGGACTCTCCTCATAAGCATGCATATTTCAGATGAAAGTCTTAAGTCTATTATAACCCTAACATGAACTAATTTTCAAAACAGAGCAGAGCTACTGTAACTTGTGTGGGCCAAGAAGTCAGTCCTTCATACCTATAAATTAAAACAAAATGCATCATATAAATCTTAGCCTTTTTTAAGGCATCTACAGAAGCTGGATACAACGATAGAAACTTTGAGGAATTTAGTGAGGTTTTTGAATGGAAGAAGGTAAAGAGCAACATTACCTGTGCAGTTATATCCATTTAAGAAGCCATCAATTAAGCTTTTGGTAGTATGCTCAAAAACTTCCAGCTGGGATGAACTTTCATCAAATACGGCATCAAACACAAATTTAAGATCTTTCTGTTTTCTTTTAGTAATGTCCCTATTGTTCAGTCTTTTCCCATGAAAGAAGCTAACTTCTTCCTCTTTTGGATCAAAGACCACTATGTGCTGGTCAACAACATGAACAACTCTGCTAAAGTTGCCATCTTTTTCCTTTTTGGACTCTGGACGGACACGGACCACCACCTTCACATGATTACAGACGTCTTCTTCCTTATCAGCAGACATAACCACAGCCTTCTTGTGTCCCCCTCTTTGTTTCCAAGACTCCTGCAGATCAAACAGCTAACTCTTTCCTGCAACTGGGAAAAAAAAAAAAAAAAAAAAAAAAAGTGTTATATTTCAAATATAACTGTTAAAATAGTTCACAACTTTAATCAGGACTAGTATTTTGCACCTGTGGTGGATCTGCCCTTCTCTTAATTGTCAGCACGACAGGCTGTTAAAGTGACCACAAAGCTTCAGAAAGGGCTGTGATGGGCCTGAAGAGCTGACCCAATACAGCTCAGCTTTAAGAAAATTAAAAAGCATTATCCTAGAAAGCTCGCAAGCTTATTCAATAATTTAAACTACTCTTTCATCCATAGGCTTTCCTTCATTTCAGAGCGAGCCAACAAGCAAGGTTCCCACGGACCAGAGCAGGTGGCTTTCTTGTCCCTCAGCAAAGCAGAGGAGCAGCCTGCTTCCTCCGGGTGATTGCTTTGGTCCCCTTGCACGGAGACTTCAAGAGATATCAGAGAGGGCTTCACGTTAACGCAGCTGACGTGGAGCAGAGAAACGCGTTCCACAGGTGTCAAAGCAGGTTTTCCCTTCACCGCCGCTGCTGCGAGCGGACGGGCGTCCTCACAGCGGACCTCCGCGGTGAAGAGCCTCGGTGACACTTTTTTCAGCCTCACAGCAAACTTGCCCTCCTTCAGCTGCGCTGCCCCAGGCGTCACCGGGACGCGGCGAGAGGCCGGAGCGCGGCGGGAACGCGCCGAGCGGCCCGCGGGAGGAGCCGCGGCCCAGCCCCACCCGGCCCTT